CTTATTTTCTGCAAGGGAAAACCAATCGTAACAACACAACCGGATCTGGATCACATCGTTTTGCCTGAGACTTCCTCACGAAAATGATGAAAATGTGGCTGCGGCCTAGGCGCGGCGGGGGGGGCGTGCACCAGGGGCCCCAACAATAATTATTCTTTAGAAGAAATAATGTTCAACAACAACAACAACGACAACAACAACAACAGCAGCAACAGCAGCAACAACAACAACAGCAACAGCAACAGCAACAGCAACAACGACAACGACAGCATCAACAACAACAACAGCAGCAGCAACAGCAACAGCAACAGCAACAACGACAACGACAACGACAACGACAACACCAACGACAACACCAACAACAGCAACAACGACAACAACAACAACAATGACCACAACTACCTACTACGACTACGAATACGACTACTACTACTACTACTACTACTACTACCAACCACCACCAACCAACCACCACCACCACCACCACCACCAAACCACCACCACCACTACTACTACTACTACTACTACTACTACTACTACTAGTTAACAAATACGAATACTACTACTACGACTACTACTACTAACTACTACTACTACTACAATAAACTACTACTACAACTACTACTACTACACTACTAAGCTACAACAACTACTACTACTACTAAACTACGACCTACGCCTACTACAACCGAACACCGACAACAACTACTACTACTACTAATAACTAACTAACTACTACTAAAACTACTACATACTACTACTACTACTACTACAACTACTACGACTACTACTACAAAACTACTACTAAAACAACTACTACTACTACTATCACTACTACTACTACTACTACTACTACTACTACAACGACTACTACTACTACTACTACTACTACTACTACTACTACTACTACTACTACTATTACTACTACTACGGCTGACGGTTGACTACGACGGCTGACTACGAAGTGTCAGAGCATGGAATGGATGGAGTCCCCTGGGCGCCCTCCCGAGGAATTCTGGAGACACGCGCTGTGGCGGGCTAATGGCAGGGAGCACGGGAATTCGCAGGCTGTGCGACGGTCGCCACGAGGCGTGTGATGGGGGCTTAACCACTGGGGCCTTCGGTGGAGCTCCCTATGGGGCCACGAAACGTGAGGGGTGTGCCGAAATGGGTGGAGGGAGGGCATGCGGGCGCAGCCGCTGGGGCCTTCGATGGAGCTCCCATGGGGCCACGTAACGTGTGAAGGGTGTGCCGAAATGGGTGGTGGGGAGGCATGCGGGCGCAGCCACTGGGGCCTTCGGTGGAGCTCCCTATGGGGCCACGTAACGTGTGATGGGTGTGCCGAAATGGGTGGTGGGGTGGCATGCGGGCGCAGCCACTGGGGCCTTCGGTGGAGCTCCCTATGGGGCCACGAAAAGTGTGAGGGGTGTGCCGAAATCAATGGTGGGGGAGGCATGCGGGCGCAGCCACTGGGGCCTTCGGTGGAGCTCCCTGTGGGACCACGAAACGTGTGAGGTGTGTGCTGGAATCTGGTGGTGGAGGTTCAGGCGCAAGCACTGGGCCTTCGGTGGGGCTCTCTATGGTGCCACGAAACGTGTGAGGGGTGCGCCGAAATGGGTGTGGGGGAGGCATGCGGGCGCAGCCACTGGGTCCTTCGGTGGAGCTCCCTATGGGGCCACGAAACGAGGGAGGGGTGTGCCGAAGCTGATGACGAGGATGATGGCACCGATGATGCTGATGATGATGATGATGATGATGATGATGTTGATGATGATGAGAATGATGATGCTGCTGCTGATGATGATGATGACGATGAGAATAATAGTAATCTTATTTGAAGTTATAATAAACATACAAATAATAATAATGATACGAATGATATTAATGCTAATAATGATAATAATAAAATTAAAAATAAAAATGATTATAATAAAGATAATAATAACCAGTATAGTGATAGTAATGCGAATGCTAATAATAATAATAATAATAATAATACGAATAATCATAATCATACTGACAATAACAAAAAATAGTAACATCAATGATAATGTCAATGACTATACTGGTAATGATAAGAATAACAATAAGAATAATGACAGTGATACTAACAATAATCTTTATTATAATGATAGTAGTACTAAGAATGAGGTTACAAATAATAATAAATCGAATGCAAAAATAATGATACGAATGGTGATGGTGATGATGACGATGACGAGAACAACGAAGATGATGATGATGATGATGATGATGATCAGCATAATCATCATCAGCATCAGCATCATCAGCATCATGGTGATCATGATGTCGATGATGGTGTGATGACGACGACGATGAGGATGCTGATGGTAATCATGATGATGATGATGCTGATGAACATGATGATGATGCTGGTAGGAGGGAGGGGGAGGAGGAAGGGAGCAGAGGAACGCGCGGCGCTGTCTCTTCCAAACGAGGACCCAACACAACAGGATGGTTGGGAAAAACAGAGTGGGAGCCCCAGGAGGAGGGGGAGGGATCGACTGAAATTGTTCTTCGGAAATGAAAGTTGAACAATCATCGAACCTCGAACTCCCAGACCTCCGACGATGCGACTTGTTCGACCCGCGCCCAGATAGGTCTCGACCACTTCCCCCGGGGCCAATTTCTCGCCCCAGGTCCCTATTTCATTTTCATGTTCCCGGGGCCCGCAGTCGGGCCCCAGAGGCAAGAAATCGAGGAGAACGCCCAGATTGATACAATCGCATCGTCAGGGATCTCGGCCTCGAAGCAGCAGCGCGTCGCGATCCTCCTCCCCGGGGCCAGGCGCGGCAGGGCCGCGCGCGCCGCCGACGCCTCGTCCGCGAGGTACTGCTGCACGGCCGGAGGGCGCGCCAGGGTCACCGCCGAGAGCGTGAGGTTCTCGTCCGCGCGGTTCCGCACCTGCGAGTGCCTCCTCCTCCTCCTCCTCCTCCTCCTCCTCCTCCTCCCCCTCCTCCTCCTCCTCCTCCTCCTCCTCCTTCTCCTCCCCCTCCTCCTCCTCCTCCTTCCCCTCCTCCTTCCCCTCCTCCTCCTCCTCCCCTCCTCCTACTCCTCCTCTGCCGCGCACTCCACTACTCCTCCTCCTCCTCATCCTCCTTAACCTCCTCCTCCCCCTCCCCCTCCCTCCTCCTCCCTCCTCCCCTCTCCCCCTCCTCCTTCCTCCTCCTCCTCACCTCTCACCCTCCTCCTCATCATCACATCTCATCATCCTCCGTCCTCCTCCTCCCTCTCTCCTCCTCCTCCTCCTCCTCCTCCTCCTCCTCCTCCTCGAGGCTCGAGGATCGCAGATTTTGGGGCGCTCTTCGCCCTGTGCCTCCGGGTGTCTTCTCCTCGCCGCGGCTGGATGCGCCTCGAAAGTCTGGTCAGGACGCACCCCAGAACTCCAGGCAGACCTGGGCCAGAAGAACGTCCCTCAAGAGCATGAAACCCTCCGTCGGCCAAAACAAACAGAACATCTAAAGGTACCCTCCCCACGATACACAAAAACATCCAACAACCACCAAAACCACCAGTGCACCCTCCCGCCTCGATCTCACACCTCGGTCCGACCGTGTAGTCCTGGGGTCGACTTTTGACCCCCAGGCTCTCGTCCGCGCGGTGCCGCACCTGCCACGAGAAGAGGGCATCGACCAAGAGCAGCGAGCATGTCCATTAGAGGCCTCCCAGGTGGGGTCGGAATAGATGTGGTCGGAGGATCGCGCCGCATCGCCGATGCATCGAAGATGCACCGGCGATGCATCGTCGACGCCGGCGATGCATCGGCGATGCATCGGCGATGTCGACGTGAAGCCAAGCGGGCTCCGCATCGCGCCGCATCGTCGATGCATCGGCGATGCGGCGCGATCCTCCGACCCCATCTACTCCGACCCAATCTAAGGGGAACAGAAACCAAGAGCGCGAGCATTAGGGGAACGAAAGATGACATAAACATAAAAACTTGGAGGTCTGCGCGGAGCGCGCCAGGGGCGGCGCCGGAGGCGCCGCCAGGTGGGTCCAGCGCAGATCCGAGAAATCCGCGCGGACCTCTGAGTTTTTGTGATTGTGTCATTCTTCGTTCCCCTAAGCATGTCCATGTATCCACGCAGGGTTCCGCACACTGGTTACATCTATATATATATATATATAGATGTGCGTTCCTATGTTTAATGTACTCCCATCGTACTTAAGGACCACATCCCGACAATAATTCCGAGCACCCAGAAAAGTATCGAAACGGTGTCGAACGAGTACCGCCTCCCAGGGCCCGACGCGTGAAGACCCTCCCAGTTGCGGTAATTATGATCTTGGTGCTCGAAATTATTTCTGGTGCGAGGCTAAAGTAGGTTGGAACATCATAATCTAGGGAGCGGCCAAGAGGGGGGTGTCCAAGAGGGGGGGGCGCAAATCATGGCCCGTGGCATGTGCGCGGCCCAGGAGGGGGGGCCGGGGACGTGATGAAATGAGGAGAAGAGGCGCCATGAAATCTGGGGAAATATCACGACCCACGCCATGATATCCACCCCCCCCTAGTCATCACCCCCCTCTTCGCCGCCCCCGAAGTGGGTTGGAACATCATAATCCGATGTCCGGCATGTCTCCACGCAGGGCTCCGGGACGCGATCCCCGCGGAGGCGCGGTCGCACGGATAGCTTCCGCGCGCGGCAGCCACGAGGGCGCGGCCCCCCCCCAGGGCCCCGGCCCACGAGGCCGGGGCGACCCGGCCACGTCCGCACGCCGCGCCAAGAATGGTGGGATTGCCTTCAACCGCCGCCACCATAAGTAGGAGAGGGGGAGGGGGTCCTCCTGCTCATCCTCCTCCTCCTCCTCCTCCTCCTCCTCCTCGACCTCCTCCTCCTCCTCCTCCTCCTGCTCTTCTTCCTCCTCTTCCTTCTTCATCCCTCCAGCTTCTGGTGGTGACGACTGTGCAAAAAAAAGCCCATCAGGAAAGCCACGACGGGAGAGCTGCGGCAACTCTCGGCATCGGGAGGCCCTCGCCGGGCCCCGTTCGGTGGCAACTCGTGGGAGCTGCCTCCCATACAGTCGG